GCCAGGGGAGAGTGGACGTATGGAAGAGAGGTTGGGAGAATTGTGTGCACACAGAGCTGGACGGTGGAAGTTGCAAGCTCGCACACTTACTCTGGCTCTTTTTTTTTCTTCTCTTTAAATCCTTGCTTTTGATTTTTAAACCCAATACATAGGATCGCCCAATTGGTGTCACTCACAGAGACTGCAGGGGAAAGTTGTTTTTGTGGAACCTGGGAATCAGAGCAGTGAGTAACGATCAAGGAACCAGCTCTGAAGCAGTTGATTCTCCCAAACCAGTATTAAGTGCAATAGGGAAAACAAAATCTAAATACTGGCTAGAGAGGACTTATATCCCAGGAGGTCAATCCAGAAACACTGCCACCCAGGGGCTGAACCACAAACTGACTCTTCTGTAAACACAAATAAAGGCAGTCTGGGAAACAAATGTGGCCTGCTTTAAAATCAGGACTGTGGTTTACAACATGGAGGAGCAGTGTATTGCAGGGAACTTCAATACTCTCCTGAATACCTGACAGGACAAAGGCGTGCCAAACAGAAGTGTAGAGGAAGTGAATGACCTTCACTACTGCACATTTTTATTTTTTTTCACCTTTTACTTAAGAAACTAAATTTTTTTTCTTTTTTCCTCACCTGATTTTACCTTTTTAATCATTACATTTTTATTTTTAATCACTATTATTACTACTACAATTTTACCTTTTTTTTTAAAAGTGTCATTTTATTTTCTCTTTATTTTATTTTAGGATTAGTGTTCTACATTCTATTTTCATCTTTCCTTTAGCAGCATTTTATTCTATCTCTACTTTACTTTATGCCAAAACTCTCTTTCTCACTTTTCCTCTTTTGGTGTCCTGTTTCTCTTACCCTAGTCCTGCTTTAGAGTTTCCCTATTCCTTCTTTTTACCCCCTGTTAAAATTTCACCCTACTTATATATCTAATTTCCAATCACCTGCTCTAAGTCAATATGCAACTCTTTCTTGTCTATCCACATTTTTCCCCCTCTCTGTCATTTTGTTGTTGTTTGCTTGATTGTTGATTATATTAGGGTTTTTATGCTTGTTTGTGAGATTGTTTCACTTTTTCTTTTTTCATTGCTTTTTTTTCCGTTATTTTTTGCTTCCGTTTTCCCTCACCTCGCTTGATATTAGTTGTTGTTTGTAGTTTGCATTCATCTCTAAGTATTTGTTGCTGGAATTTATTGGGATTAGTGGCTGTTCTATTGGAGTTTTCTCCCCATATAAATAGTTTCTTCCCCTCTTCTATTTTATTCTCTTTTTTTTCTCTCTTACTGCTTTATTCCTTTTCCCAGTTTCATTTTTGCACTCCTTTTTCTCTCTCTTTTTCTCTTCTTCTTTCTTCCTTACCCCCTAGCTCTCTTTCCTCTGATGGTCACCTTTATTTGGGGTTATTAGTATCGTGAATACATTTGTGTTCAGTGCCTTGTGTGTTGTGCCTTGTTGTGTTTTATTTTTTGCCTTTAAATCAACGCAGGAGAGAGAGAACTACATAACCAGACACCTGGAGAAGAGAGATCATGGGGAGACAAAGAAACAGCCTGCATATGAAAGAAAAACAGGCATCACCAGAAAAGGAAGTAAACGAAACGGAGGCAAGCATCCTGTCAGAGAAAGAATTCAGAAAAATGGTCATACGGTGGCTGAAAATAATGGAAGACAAATTCAACAATATGTGTAAGAACCAAGAAGAAATGAAAAATGACATCACTGCTATAAAGAACTCAATATAAAGCATCAACAGTAGACTAGAAGAAGCAGAGGACCGCATCAGTGAGCTAGAAGACAAGGTAGGAAAAATATACCCAAGCAAAGCAGCTTCTAGAAAAAAAAACCTAAAAAGCAGGAGGAGAACCTAAGAGAATTTTGGGACAACACGAGATGAAACAACATCTGCATAATAGGGATGGAACTGAGGAAACTGAGCAAGGAATAGAAAACCTGTTTGAAGAAATAATGACAGAAAACTTCACTAATATAGAAAAGAAAAAACTCACACAAATCCAAGAAAAGCTCACAGAGTCCCAAACAAAATGAACTCCAAAAGACCAATGCCAAAGTACATTATAATTAAACTAGAGGCCTGTTGCACGAAGAGATTCGTGCAATAGGCCTTTCCTTCCCTTGGCTGCTGGCACCGGTTTGCCTCTGGCACCCAGGACCTAGGCCTTTGCTCTGGCTGGAGCTGACCCTGGAGCCATCAGGCTTCACTGCTCTGGCCCCGGGGCCATCAGGCTTTGCTCCACCGCTTGGAGCCTATGTATGCAAATTAACTGTTATCTTTGTTGGGTTAATTTGCATACTCTCCTGATTGGCTGGTTAGCATAGCAAAGGTACAGTCAATTTACATGTTTGTCTATTATTAGGTAAGATTGGCAAACACCAATGACAAAGTAAGAATCTTAAAAGCGGCCAGAGAGAGACAGAAAGTTACCTACAAAGGATCCCCCATTAGACTAGCGACTGATTTCTCAACAGAAACACATCAGGCAAGAAGGGAATGGAATGAAATATACAGAGTCATTCAAAGGAAGAGTCTGAATCCAAGAATACTGTACCCAGCAAGGCTATCAATCAAAATTGAGGGTGAAATCAGGAGCTTCACAGACAAAAAAGGACTACCACCAAACCAGCAATGCAAGAAATGATAAAGGGTCTGCTGTAAAAAGAAAAAATAGGAAACGAAGAAGGAACATAGGGATAAAGAATAAAAATGGCAACAAACAAGTATCTATCAATAATAACTTTAAATATAAATGGATTAAATGCCCCAATCAAAAGACATAGGGTAACTGAGTGGATAAGAAAACATGACCCATATATCTTCTATCTATAGGAAACCCCCCTCAGAAAAAAAGAAGCACATGGACTGATGGTGAAGGGATGGAAAAAGGTTTTTCAGGCGAATGAAAATGAAAAAAAGCTGGGGTAGCAATACTTATATCTGACAAATTAGATCTCAAAGTGAAGGACATAAAAAGAGATAAGGAAGGCCACTTCATAATACTAAAGGGAGCAATCCAACACGAAGAAATAACTCTGGTAAACATATACACACCCAATACAGGAGCACCCAAATACATAAAAAAACTTCTGGAAGATATCAAGAGAGAGATTGACAGCAATACAATCATAGTAGGGGACTTTAATACACCACTATCACCATTGGACAAATCCTCTAAACAAAATATCAGCAAAGAAACATCAATCCTAAATGACTCACTAGATCAGATGGAATTAATTGACATCTTCAGAATATTTCACCCAAAGCCACAGAATATACATTCTTCTCAAGTGCACATGGGTCATTTTCAAAGATAGACCACATATTGGGTCACAGGCAAAGTCTCTTCAAATTCAAGAAGATAGAAATCATATCATGCATCTTCTCAGATCACAATGGCATAAAACTAGAAATCAACTACAATAAAAGCAATCCAAAAAAATCAAACACATGGAGACTAAATAGCATGCTATTAAAGAATGACTGGGGAAGATGGCGGCATAGGTAAACACCGGAAATTGCTGCCTCGCACAACCACTTCAAAAATACAACTAAAAGACAAAACGGACATCATCCAGAACCACAGGAAGGCTGGCCAAGTGGAAATTCTACAACTAGAAGGAAAGAGAAAAGCACATTGAGACTCAGAGGAGGTGGGGCGTGGAAGTAAAGTGCAGAGGTAAGGAGGCGCATGCGGAAAGGGCTGGCAATTGAGGACGTGGTTGTCTTTTTCAATCGGGAGGGAGACACAAGCTCCCGACTGCTCTGAACTCCAGTTCCGGGCGAGTATCTGAGGACCCAGACTCATACAGGGAGAAAATGGACTATCTGGCATTGGGTGGAACTCGAGGACGGCTTTCTCTCAGAGGTGCTTGCAGCGATTACTGCGGGACACTGAGATGCGGGGCCTCTTAGGGTAGGACTGAGGATCAGCCATAGCTGTTTGCTCCGCCCAGTTGGTTCCCTGAGATCTCGCCCCACCCAAGCTGTGTGAAGAGGCTTTTGCATATAAATGCCTGGCCCTTTGCAATCTAAAATTACCTAAAAACTGCAGCTGGGTCAGAGAGACCCAGAACATCCAAAAGAAGGCCCAAGGTGCCACAGCAGCTTGCATTACTTCACAGCTGGGCCTCATCTGGGCACCTCCAAACCCCAAACAAGGAAAAGGAATCTGCAGATCTCTCTGTAGCTCCTGCTGGGTAGCCTCAGGAAGAGGCTAAATTAGCACCTCCTTAGAGATCCAAGAGCCAGTGTACCCAGTGGTCAGAGTGGGACCATCCAGATCACCACCGAAGACTACCATTGTGCCCAGTGGGGCTGTGAAACCCTAGCCCCCTGGACAACAAGCGATCCATCGCTATGATTACAGAGGGTTGTTTGGCCCGGAGCCCCCGAGAAGAACTGTACGGTAGGGGATTGTAACCCTGTGATAATTACGCCACTGAACTGGAGGGCTTCCTCCTGGGACACGGGAGAAACGTGGGGCCTATGTCTTTATGTATTGGGAAGGGATCCAGGGGTCCTCTTCACCCTCCAGAGAACCCGACAAGCCCCAAAGAGAAACCCAATCGGGCCCCTTTGTGAACTAGATTTAGGGATACCATCCGTACAGCCCCCAAAGCACCGGCAACCCACACAAAGTCCAACACCTGAACTAGGTACAGGAGGAAAGTCAGAACCAGAGCATAGTCCCACTCTTGCCCCCATTACATCTGAGCAAGTAAGGAGATCCCCCCTCAACACCCTGGATGCCGTTTTCAACTTCTTAAAGCAAACCTCCCCAAACACCACCAAGGATTGCTGGCTACGCTTAAATCCTGAGCCACCATATTATGTAGGGATAGGGGCAAATGCCAGTATAGGGGAAGACGATAGCAGCATCAGAAATATCTCACTCCAGAATACCCCCGAGGGGATGTGCAGGTGGGGAGAGAACCCCAAGTTAACCCTGGGGTATTATCAGGGAATAGGTACCTGCTTTATGTCCAAGGACTACAATCTTAAGAAGTCCCCCTATGCAGAATCATGCTCCTCAGTCACCACCTTCAGTAAAGAAGATGACGACAGTAGTGGCACCCTGGAGAGATATCTGGTAGCCCGGAAGGGAATCTGGTTTGCCGGCACCTCTGGTATCACCCCCTGTTTTTCCCCCTTGACTCTCATCCCCCCCGGGGAGCCTTCTTTATGCATCCTCACTCACATCTTGCCTCAGGTATACTATTACTCTGTGGGGGGGGCGGGTGCCGGGGGAGAGAGCATTTAGGTCTGCTCAGAAGCAGAAAAAAACGGGCCCCAGTATTAATTCCCTTTTTAGTAGGGCTAGGGATTGCCGGCTCCACTGCGGTGGGAACAGCAGCTCTAGTAACAGGAAATCAGAATTTTAAGGCCCTCAGCAGCCAAGTAAATCAAGATCTGAGCACATTAGAAAAAAATGTAGATAGACTTGAAGATTCCCTCAGTTCCTTAGCCGAGGTAGTATTACAAAATAGGAGAGGGCTCGATCTGTTATTTCTAGAACAGGGAGGACTATGCATGGCCCTAGGGGAGACCTGTTGTTTTTATACTAACCACTCGGGAGTTATCAGGGAGAGCCTCAGTCAGCTAAGGAAAAGGCTACAAGACAGAGAGGAAAGGAGAAAGTCAGAAGGAAACTGGTATGAAAACCTCTTCTCCTGGTCCCCCTGGCTCACCACTCTCCTAACCGCCTTAGCTAGGCCAATAGCACTCCTACTGCTAACACTAACTTTCGGCCCATGCATACTGAACTGCTTAATGAATTACATTCCGCAGAATACAAGCGGTCAAATGAATGGTCCTAAGAACTCACTACCAAAGAATAAGAAGAAACAATGATTTGATTCTCCTGTAAAACCAGTGGGGAATGTTACAGAGTAGGAACATTTTTAGGCCTGCTTAATGACTTAGCCGCCTCGCAGCTTGACAGCCTGTGCAAAGTTTCTAGGAACTGAGCTCCCACACCTGAGCAACGGCCCACAAAGAACAGACAGATCAACACTCCTGGGCAACAGGCCCACAAAGAACACATAGATCAACACTCCTGGGCAACAGGCCCACAGAGAACACACAGATCAACACTCCTGGGCAACAGGCCCACAGAGAACACACAGATCAACACTCCTGGGCAACAGGCCCACAAAGAACACACAGATCAACACTCCTGGGCAACAGGCCCACAGAGAACACACAGATCAACACTCCTGGGCAACAGGCCCACAAAGAACACACAGATCAACACTCCTGGGCAACAGGCCCACAAAGAAAGACAGATCAAAATTAAGAATAGTCCTGACCTTTAAGTTACCCAGAAATTAATAACAGGGGGATGATTAATAGCTTGGCTAAAACTATGCAATTAGCTTTTGTAACTTGGCTTTGCTTGCTTTGGGAACCTGAAGACAGATGTAGTTGTTCCCTTTAAATATTGGACTCTGTAGATGGTCGTGGCTGTTCTCTCTTGGGCTTGGGCTTCCCGAGTGGAGGAGTGGACACTGGCCAGTCAATAAAGGCTCTCTAAATTTTAATCAGCCTGGAGTTTTGGTCATTCTGTCACTCGCCCTCCGCAACAATAATACTGGAGGTATTAGCCATTGCAATTAGACAAGAAGAGGAAATAAAAGGCATCCAAATTGGAAAAGAAGAAGTAAGACTGTCCTTATTTGAAGATGACATGATATTGTACATAAAAAAACCCCAAAGACCCCATAAAAAAACTATTAGACTTAATAAATGAATTCGGCAATGTAGCAGGATACAAAATTAAGACCAAGAAATCTATGGCATTTCTATACACCAATAGTGAACTTACAGAAAGAGAGACTGAAAAAGCAATCCCATTTACCATCACACAAAAAAATTAAGATACCTAGGAATAAATTTAACTAAAGAGGTAAATGACTTGTACTTAGAAAACTATAGGACGTTGGAAAAAGAGCTAGAGGAAGACATAAACGATGGAAGAACATACCATGTTCATGGGTTGGTAGAATCAACATCATTAAAATGTCCATACTACCCAAAGCAATCTATAAATTCAACACACTCCCCATTAAAATACCAACGGCATATTTCACAGACCTAGAACGAACTCTCCAAAAATTCACCTGGAATAAAAAAAGACCCCGAATAGCTGCAGCGATCCTGAGAAAGAAGAACAAAGTAGGTGGGATCTCAATACCAGATATCAAGCTGTATTACAAAGCCACTGTTCTCAAAACTGCCTGGTACTGGCACAAGAACAGACATATAGATCAATGGAATAGAATAGAGAACCCAGAAATTGACCTGAACCAACATGCTCAATTAATATTTGACAAAGGAGGCAAGAACATACAATGGAGTCAAGACAGTCTCTTCAATAAATGGTGTTGGGAAAATTGGGCAGATACATGCAAAAAAATGAAACTAGACCACCAACTTACACCATACACAAAAATAAACTCAAAATGGATAAAGGACTTAAATGTAAGATGGGAAACCATAAAAATACTAGAGGAATCCAAAGGCAACAAAATCTCAGACATATGCCGAAGCAATTTCTTCATCAATACAGCTCCTAGGGCAGTGATGGCAAACCTTTTGAGCTTGGCGTGTCAGCATTTTGAAAAACCCTAACTTAACTCTGGTGCCGTGTCACATATAGAAATTTTTTGATATTTGCAACCATAGTAAAACAAAGATTTATATTTTTTACATTTATTTTTTATATTTAAATGCCATTTAACAAAGAAAAATCAACCAAAAAAATGAGTTCGTGTGTCACCTCTGACACATGTCATAGGTTCGCCATCACTGTCCTAGGGCATTAGAAACTAAAGAGAAAATAAACAAATGGGACTACATCAAAATAAAAAGCTTCTGCACAGCAAAAGAAACCATCAACAAAACAACAAGAAAGCCCACTGCATGGGAGAACATATTTGCCAATGTTATCATCAATAAGGGTTTAATCTCCAACATTTATAGGGAACTCATACAACTTAACAAAAGGAGGCTAAACAATCCAATCAAAAAATGGGCAAAGGACCTAAATAGACACTTTTCAAAAGAGGACATTCAGAAGGCCAAGAGACATATGAAAACATGCTCCAAGTTACTAATCATCCGAGAGATGCAAATCAAAACAACAATGAGGTACCATCTCACACCTGTCAGAATGGCTATCATCAACAAATCAACAAACGACAAGTGCTGGAGAGGATGTGGAGAAAAGGAACACTCGTGCACTGCTGGTGGGAATGCAGACTGGTGCAGCCACTATGGAAGACAGTATGGAGTTTCCTCAAAAAGTTAAAAATGGAACTCCCATTTGACCCCGTGATCCCACTGTTAGGAATATATCCCAAGAAACCAGAAACACCAATCAGAAAGGATACATGCATCCCTATGTTCATAGCAGCACAATTTACCATAGCTAAGATTTGGAAACAGCCTAAGTTCCCATCAACAGATGAATGGATTAGAAAACTGTGACACATCTACACAATGGAATACTTTGCTGCTGTAAAAAAGAAGGAATTCTTACCATTTGCAACAGAATGGATGGAACTGGAGAGCATTATGCTAAGTGAAATAAGCTAGTCAATGAAAGAAAAATACCACATGATCTCACTCATTTATGGATAATAAAGACCATTATAAACTGATGAACAAAAATAGATACAGAGGCAGAGCAGCATTAAACAGACTGTCAAACTACAGCAGGAAGGCCGGGGAGGGTTGGGGCGGGGGTAAGAGATCAACCGAAGGACTTGTATGTATGCATATAAGCATAACCAATGGACACAAGACACTGGGGGGTAGGGGAGGCCGGGGGAAGGTCAAGGGGGAAAAAAAGGAGACATATGTACTACTCTTTGTAATATTTTAAGCAATAAAACAAAATGTACAAGAAAATAAAATAAGATTATTTAATCACAATAAAGTGTTATAAATGTTATACTCTACATATTTTCACAACCTACTTTAAAAAATAACAAAACTCATTTTACCACTTGGGAATCTTAATGCTGGAAAACATTCTGATTTAATTTGTTTTTTATTTATTATTTTATAAACTTTAACTTTTTAAAATGACTCCTAATGTGCTATTAATTGAATGAGCTATAATTTATTGAAAAGTTTATCATGATTAAATTATAATTTATTAAATTTTATTATTATAAATAATTTTTCATTTTAATGTCCCATGTTGATTGATGTATGTTGGAAGTTGACTATGGGGGTGAAACTTAAAGGCTAAAACTGTTTTTCCAAAAGGTATTTGTATCTTATATTTGGTTTCATTTCCTTAGTCAATCTGACCACAAGAACCCTGACACCCATGTTTCCTTGCTTTGCTGTGACAATGGGAAGGGTCAAAAGAAAGAATTTTATGGCTTTTCTAATCAGGTTTCAATTTGCTATGGGAAAAGATTTAAGTGATTTCAACTGTGAACATGCCCCAGCTTTGACTATCGTGTCTAAAAGATGAAAGAAGCATCCCCACCCCTCCTACCTGTCATGATTTATTCATGGGAGACTGCAAAATCGCACCTTCGAAAAGCCCCGACAAATCTCAGATTTAACCATGACAAAGGACCATCAATTGAAACTTCCTTATGATGACTTGCAACTTGTATTTACTTAGAGCGATTCTCTCTTTCAGTTCCAAAACTCCCACAAATTCCAGCTGAGGCCACATTTGGCAGAGTAAGACTGAAGAACAGCCTTTTTTACAGTGTCTTTCTAGGGTTATAGCCTTATATTGCTTCCATAACTTGATTCCCCATCTAAATAAACACACAAATAGAACACATACAAGCAAATACCTTACAGTTATCACACGTACACCAACGCCCTTGAGGATTTTTAGGGGCACAGGCATCTTTGGGAACAACCTTACAGAGGACGCTCGGGACAGCTGCTGTGCAGAGACCTTGAGTGGCTGGGAATGACCCCATTTGCTGTCCCACGCGGCGGACAGACCTCTATTCTCTGTCTCTTCAGAGCCACAGGGAGAAGAAGAAGCCTCACTGGATGGAATGAACTGTTGAGTGTGCAGGTAATGAAAACATGATTTTGTGTCAATGATGATTGATTACATTGAATACGTCCCTGCTTTAAATTCCTATTTTAGGCTTTGAACTTGAAAAGGGTTCTCAGGCCTCCGTCCCAGGTAAAGAATGAAATGTGGCTGAAGTCCCATCACCTGATCTTGTGCCTGTTCTCAGACAGGCCTAGAACCAAAGAACACAGAAATCAGAGTAGAATTTAAGGTACTCTCAGTTTTCTCTGAGTCTAAAGGAGAAGCAAGAACTCATTTGGATTCCCATGGATGCCCAGGGAGACGTGAAAAGGCGTGGCTGGATTCCAGGTGTGTGAGAGAACAATGCACCATGGGCATGGGCAGAGCCAAGGGTCCTACTGGGGAGTGGAGGTGGCACAAAGACGTTCTCTGCCTCTATCTGCAAGTCTGCTGAGGATCAGTGTCCATGCTCTCCCCAGACCTCTGGAAGACAGTCCTTACCTCCAGGAAAACCAGTTCTTTGCCACTGTTCAAGTAAGAAGAATGTGCATCTTTTGTGTGGATTCCATGCTATTGTATACATACTTAGTGAGAGGCTTGTAAGCTGGCCTTTAGACCCCCTCACACACTCACTACTTCACCCTTATTTGTGCATTTTTCCTGCTACTCTTTCCTCACCCACAATTTCTTCACTGAAATTTCTACTGCATCACAAACACATCCTGCTCAAGGACAGGTCCGGATGCATGTAGTGATTGATTCTATTTGTGACACTCCACTGCTTCTCATGCTGGAAATCTTTCTAGAAGAGGCTTAGAAACTGGAATGAAGCCAGAGGGTGGGGCTTCTAGGAATCATTTATAATCTGCCACTTGCAGAGCTCACACACACAACTAGACACAATTAGGAAGAGCTGCCCAACAGAAGACACAACAATGGCAGTGGTACAGGTGAGTTGAAATGGCACAGACTTCAGGGATCCCAGGTCCCGTAAAGGAAGGAGGAAAGAGTGCAAGATTGTTTAAGATGAAAATATTTGGGGTGATCAACTAAAGGACTTGTATGCATGCATATAAGCATAACCAGTGGACATAAGACATTGGGGGATAGGGGAGGCTAGGGGACTGTCTAGGGCGGGGGGATAAAATGGACACATATGTAATACCCTTTGTAATACTTTAAGCAATAAAAAATAAATAAATAAAAAAAAAGAAAGAAAATATTTGGGGTATTTGGTAGTTGTGAATGTGTGGAAGAGAGACCCTTGGCATATGATGATGGAATCCTTATGGGGAATTGTGTGTTGACCCTGGGCCAGTGTAATCCAATGCCAGCATTTGGTGGTGTCTGACTGAGTGTGAACTCTATTGAGACACTGTGACTTTGTGTGGGAAGTGGACAGCTGACTGGGATGAGGGACTGTGTGTGCGGTGCAAGGGATGAGATTGCACATTTGTCTTTATGACTGTGTGTATGTGTGTGTGTGTGTGCAGCTGGGGCAGAGGTTGAGCGGTTTGGAGTGTTGGCAGGTATGTAATATGGTGAGTCCCACGTCTCTGTGTGGTTCTGTGTGTGTGATAATCTGTGACTGCGTGTTGAATTGTGAATGCTTGTGCCCGTGACTGCATGTGAGTGTTCTCCCCTACATGGTAGTGACTTTTAAGTAACTGTATGTCTTTCCATGAGTATCATTGTGGCTCCTGGTGGGCAGAACTGGAGGTCTTGAGGAGAGTGGCTTTCCCAGGACTCCTCCCTGAGCATTAATGAGAGCAGAATGAGTCAGTCCTCAGAGCCTCTTCTCAAGAAGCCTGAGGGGAGGGGAGCTCAGACTGTGGGGCACTGGATCTCCTGTCCAGGTCAGCACAGTGACCCTGCTCCTGCCTCAGGTCTCCTCCCCGAGTCAGTCCTTCCTCTGTCTTCAAAACAAAAACAAAAAAGGGTGAGCAGATCCTGACTCTGGGGAAGGTGGTTGTGGGAATTGGTTTCAGAGAATGGATCACCTGAAGATGGAAGGAACAAAATCAGCTTCAGTCCAGACAAAGCTTACAGTAGATACCAATGAACAATGTGTAGATTTTCTTGAATTACTTTCATCAATTACTGCCCGCCACCCTGTGTGCAGGTACTGGCTGCGTCCTCAGTGACTTGTGCATGTTCCTGAAAGAACATACATGTCCTTGAAAATTCTGGTGCATATATAGCCCACATACAGGCGTCTCCTTTTCCATGATCATTGCTCTCTCTTTTAACAAATGTTTTTCATTGGAGTGAATATATATATTTTGACAGTTTTGTCTTGTCTTTACAGTTTCAGATAGGAAATGTTCAGAGGGTGGTACTTCAGAAAGGGCCCTTCCCCTTTGGCTAGGTCACCCCTGTTTAGACCCTATACATACCAGTGATCAGGTTAAAGGTTTTACATCTATTAGCTCATCTGTTCCTGAGAGCTCCCTCTGAAGTAGGAATTTCTGATAATCCTCCTTCTACTGAGGAGACAAAGACAAGGAGAATTCAAGTAATTGATCTACAGTCTCACTGCTAGTAAGAGACAAAATTAGAATCCAGGAAGCCTGGTTCTTGAAAGCTTGCTTTCAATGATAATTCCCTCATTTCTTCACGGACAGGGGGTCCTGACTGTGACGAGGTGGGAAGAAGGGGGCCCTCGGAGTTTGTCCTTTGATGTTTATCCTGCTTTGCCACTAGGTGTTGTAGGAGCGGCGACCACACCTGGCTTTGTCCCTCTCATCTGCTCTCTTCTCCCATGGCAGGTCCCATACACAAAAATTTCATCCTTGAACATTGGTTCTTCAGTGACAATCAAAGGGACACCTGCCATGTCTTTCGTGTGAGTACTCTGTAGCCTACGGTGGGAAAATGAAGAAGTGAGGTTATTGTAGCTTTGGAGGCCACTTCATGCAAGAATGATACCGAGATGTGTAATTAGTATAATGGTAGCACAATGCAGTTGCAGTTCCTGGAGACCCATCCGGTGCCAGGATTAAACCTACAGGTGCATGTCTGTGGGTTAGTGTTGAAGTCTGGGGGCTGGGGTCACTCAAGCATTGGAGCTGAGGTTTAGTATCAAGGGACACAGTATTTCCAAGACATGAAAAGTAGCCCCAGGCCAGTGACTGCTGCTTGGTGTGAGTCCTGGGCTAAGGGATGAGGCATCTCCCCACCCTGGACAGGACAAGCTGAAGCAGCCCCACAGGGACACGTACTGCAGTCTCCCTCAGGAAGGCCTTCCCTCCCCCGGGAGGAGTTGGGGGGTGTGTGGATGTGTGTGTGGAATGTGGGCCCCCGTGAGGAGAGGTCCTGCTCCACATGCTGCGTGCTCTGCCTTCAGCATGAGCCCAGAACTGCAGGTGGACTTCCACACCGGAACTGAAGAGGATTCCGACATCGCCTTCTACTTCCGCGTGTACTTTGGCAACTGTGTGGTGATGAACAGCCGTCAGTTTGGGGACTGGAAGTCAGAGGAGAGATACGATGGTATGTCTTTTGTGGATCGCCAACCATTTGAGCTGTGCATCTCAGTGCTGCAAAATGAGTACCAGGTGAGTGTACCCAGGAACATCCACTACATGGGCTCTCAGGGCTCCCTGTGGAGAACACAGCTCTCCCTGGCCTGGCCCTCAGAGTCCCCTGTGGTTCATCTCCTGCCCCTCTCATCACAGAGCACCCTCTGCTGGTACTGCCATGCTCAGGTCAAGATCAGCCCACATGCCTGAGAGCATCAGCCCTCAGACTAAAGGGTCCTGGGTTCAATTCCTCTATCTTCACTTGCAGCCATGTTTTCTACCTGTGCTGTCATTCTTTCAGTTTTCATGTAGGAGATTGTTAAAATATGCATATAAATAATTATATTTAGTTTAAAATTGAGTGTTTTCTACATTTCTAAATCCAGTCTCTCTCTCCAGAGCAACAGTTACTAGTCCTTTTGTGCTCTTTACAGAGATATTATATGCTTGTACAAGTCTATCATCTATCTATCTATCTATCTATCTAGCTAGCTAGCTAGCTATCATCTACCTATCATCTATCATCATGTATCTGTATCTGCTTTTGTTTCTTTTTAAATAAATGATGTTATAAGTATTTCTAGTAATCACACATTGAGGACTAGAGTTTATTTGTTGTAAAAAAAAATGTATGTTAGATGCTCTAGCTGGTTTGGCTCAGTGGATAGAGCATCGGCCTGCAGACCGAAGGGTCCTGGATTCTATTCCGGTCACAGGCACATATCTAGGTTGCAGGCTGTTCCCTGGACAGGCCCTGGTCAGGGCATGTGCAGGAGATAACCAATGGATGGGTTTCTCTCACATCCATGTTTTTCTATGTCTTTCCCTCTCTCTTCCACTCTCTTAAAAATTAATGGAAAAATGTCCTTGGGTGAGGATTTAAACAAAGATATAATAAAAAATAATAAAATAATAAAAATGTATGTTAGAGAAATATTTCTGCTTGAGATGTCCCCACATTATTTGATGTTCACCTAATATTCCAATAGAAGCATTCTCAGAACGATTTAACTTGACCCTTATTCATGCACATTTAGATGGTTTCCATATTTTGCTCTCATGAATGAAGCTGTATTCTATATAACATTTTTGTCATTATCAACCTCCCAATGCTTATATGGGAGGATAATTTCAGAGAAATGAAATAGCTGGTTGAAGAAGTGTGTGCAATTTAAATATGAAAAACTAAGATCTTAAAAAGTTGACTTTTTTTCCATAGCCATGGTAATAAAGTGTATATTTAAAAATTCTGACCTTTCTAAATGGAAAAGCAAAAAATTAACATCTTATTATGATTGAAGCCAGGTATCTTTTCATATGCTTATAAGCTGATTTAAATTATCCTCATTTAAAATCATATGTACAATTCTATCTCTTTAAGAACACTCAAGCCCTAGCAGGTTTGGCTCAGTGGATAGAGCGTCAGCCCTCAGACTAAAGGGTCCTGGGTTCAATTCCAGTCAAGGGTACATACCTGGGTTGCAAGTACGATCCCTGGCCCTGATTTGTCTCTCTCACATCGATGTTTTACTTTCTCTCCCTCCCTTCCACTCTGTCTAAAAAGCAATGGAAATAAATATCCTCGGGTGAGGATTAAAAAGAAAGAAAGAAAGAAAGAAAGAAAGAAAGAAAGAAAGAAAGAAAGAAAAAAAGAAAGAAAGAAAGAAAGGATACAGACACTTAGGATTCATGAGACACAGTTCCTGGCCATGAGAATCTTCTAAGCTAGAGAGAGGGCCTGGAAGACATAGACAATGCAACAAAAAGTGGTAGCACTTCAGTGGAGGAATAAGAGAATCTCAGAAAATAGAATGAACAACTGTCTGAAATAGTCGCAAAATGTAGGTTATAAAAAGAAGCATGTCTACTGACTTTTGAAATGTGACTGAGAGTTTCTGAGTGGATGGTGTGTCTATAGGGTAGAAGTGGAAAGAAAGACGGTAAGTCTGTTTGGTGGCATACTGTATTTATGATACGTTTTCCCTTACAGATAAAGATAAATGGCCGTCAATGTTACACATTTTCCCATCGACTCCCGCCAAATAGTGTGAAGATGATCCAGGTGTGGAGAGATGTCTCCCTGAGCTCAGTGAGTGTCCAGTAGAGGAGGATGTGACCAGAATCCCCGTTGTCAAGGAGATCCCTCCCCCTAAGTGACCCTGTGATTCCCAGAGCTGGCTAACAACAGGGGTTCTCACCCTTCCCCCACACTTGGTCATTAAAACTCCTGAGAACTTAACAAGATTTGCTTCTTTCTTCTGAGGAAAAAAGAGAAAAAAGATTAAGTGCTCAACACTAAAAGGGGCATGAGAGTACTGTGGGAGAGGTCAAGGAATCAAAGAGGACAAATATTTCTCGGACACATGGAGTGAGGGACAGGGTCATGAGATGTCTGAGAAGACATTGGTGACAGTATCCTTATGTAGTTCTTACGATATGTCAGGCACTCTAGAGCAAAATCCTTCCCCAATTTCAGACAGCTAAACCAAGATATTAGGTATCTGTCTCAAGCCACAAAGCTATAATTGGTAGCTGGGGAAGGAACTTTGTATTCGGAGGACAATCAGGTGAGATTTCTTAAATCTTCCTTTATTCCAAGGATGTTTAATATATATATTGTCACTGTGCCTGGCTTTGTGTGAGATGCACTGGGAAAAATAAAGAAAATCATAGAAGAAATAGTTGGAAAACCAAGATTTACCTCAAAGAATCTCTTTTTTCTATTACTCAAACAATTGCAAGATTTTTTCAATTTATGTGGGCAGAAACCTGGGACATGTTTGGTAATGAACTGCTATGATTTTAGACCAGGGAGGATACAATTATTGTTAAAACAAGAACAATTTATACACGGGATGCAGTGACCTGACTCTGGCTGTGATGCCCCACAGAATCATTGCAGAATAACAAACCTCTCCAAAATATATTGTTTTAAAACAATAATTTATGATTATGTCTCCCAGTTTTGCAGGTGTCCTTCACTCATATGGGTAGTGTATTTTGTGGTTCTAATCAGATGGTAGTGGGAAGTGGAGTTTCCTGATGGGTGCTTTCCTCGTGTCTGACTCTTCACTTGAGCTGGATGAAAGAGCTGGGGGCTGGCTGGTTGTTTCTCTTTACACAACCTTCATATCTGTCTTAGACCTCATCAACTCATTCAGGCTTCATGGCTTCCATAGTGATCCCTTGAAAAGGCCCAAGCAGAAGGTGTAAGGTATAATAGGACCCAGCTCTGGAAGTCATGCAATGCCACTTCCTTCACATCCTAGTGTTCAAAGGTGAGTCAGAGAGACAGCCATATCATGTGGAGGAGGCTACACTAGGGCACGGGTATGTTGACTTGTGGTTCATAGAAATCATCCTAAGAGACTAGCTACCATTCCACCCTCAGGCCCCAGAGACGTTCACACTTCCCACAAACCCCAAACACTGATTACTTTCTATGGAATTTCCAAATGTAAATCAATTACAGCAATAAGCTTGAGACAGAAGTCCAGCACCTCACCATCAAAATCAGGGCCTGGTGCTCATGAAGTGAACTGATTATAACTTCTCAGGTGCAGTTCCTCTCAATATGTGCATTAAAGGGACAAAGTGCCTGCCTCATACATGCCAGACATACGTGCTGAAACAGACACAGAAAAAAATGCAATCCACACCTCGATGTTAATAGGCAGCCATAGGAGGTGTATAGCAGCCACTGCTTCGTTTCATATCTGAAAACCAGCCAGACTCATATCTACCTTTTTCTTTGGAATTGTTTCTCTGCAGTAATAGCGGCCACCCTCCTTTCTTAGCTTCTTTGAGTTTCTGCCTAGATGTCAGAATGACTATTCTAGGGGCTCTGATAATCAGCCTCTTAGCAAGTCTGGAGAACAACTTAGGAGACACATTACTTAGAAGAGATTATTCATAAAAATAGACCACGACAGATTTAAGAACGTCTTCTGGAAATAGCCTCTTTCTCCACAAGGACTACCTTGGGCATCAATCACATGATCTCTCACCATGTCCATTGCCACAGCGTCTTCTTTAACTCCAACCTTCTTAACTGGAATGCTTCTTTCCTTAGCCTTCCTCCAACCTAACATCCAGAAGCCTTGAAGTGGCAACACATTGCTAATGGCACTGTTCAGGCCTTTCTTCTGGGTTTCATTTCACACTGGAATGAAATTTCCCCCTCACTACCTGTAAACTCCTGAGTTCTGATTAGGCACAATCTTCTCCTTTCAAATACCAAAAATAGGTGTCCCCCCATTGCCTCCCATGACCTCACCTTCCCAAACAAACCACAATTCTGAATTTTTTTTTTATCATTCATTGTCTTTATTTATGATTTTATAGTCAACTAGAGGCCTGATGCATGAAAATTCATGCAAGAGTAGGCCTTCCTTCCCCGGGCTGCCAGCACTGGCTTCCCTCTGGCACCCAGAACCCAGGCTGCTTCACTCTTCTGGCTGCCCACAGGCACCCGGAACCTGGGCTCCTTCCCTCCTCTGGCCGCCTGCAGGCACCCAGAACCCGGGCTCCTTCCCTCCTCTGGCCACCTGCAGGCACCCGAGGCCCTGGCCAGCTTCCCTCGGGCACCAGCTTTGCCAAGAAGGATGTCTGGAATAAGTCTGGTCTAATTAGCATATTACCCTTTTATTATTATAGATGTCTGCAAAACAATTATCAAGAAAACTATAGGAGAAACCAAGATGGTGGCATAGGTAAACACTGGAAATTGCTGCCTCCCACAACAAATTCAAAAATACAACTAAAAGACAGAACAGACATCATCCAGAACCACAGGAAGGCTGGCTGATTGGAAATTCTACAACTAGAAGGAAAGAGAAAAGCATACCGAAACTCAGAGGCGGTGCAGTGTGGAAGTAAAATACAAAGGTGTGGAGGTGCATGAGGAGAGGGCTGGTGGCTGAGGACACGGTTGTCTTTTTCAATCAGGAGGGAGTCTCAAGCTCTGAGCTCCAGTTCCGGACAAGTCTCTGGGGACCCAGACTCATATGGGAGAAACGGGACTGTCTGGCATCGGCTGGAACTCGAGGGCAGCTTTCTCTCGGAGGTGTTCTCAGTGATTGCTGGGGCCTCTGAGGGCAGGACTGAGAGCAGCCATAACTGATCACTCCACCCTGTTGATCCCTTGGGACCCTGCCCTGCCCAAGCCATACACTGGAGCTTTTGCGTATGAAAGGCCCGGCCTTTTGTAATCTGAAAATTACTTAACAAACTACAGCTGGCCCAAGGCCCCAGGGCAACTTGCATTGCTTCATAGCTGGCTTCTGCTGAGTAGCCTCAGGCATAGGCTAGATTAGCACCTCCTTAGAGATCCAGGAGCCAGTTCTCCAACTGCAGACACAGCTGATTCTCACAGCCAATTGGCCTGGAGGTCAATCCCTCCCAGTGTTACCTACAACAATCAAAGCTTAACTACAACAAGCCTGTACACAAAGCCAACAAGGGGGTGCACCAAGAGTGTCTGCCTCTAGTAATTGGGGAGGCTGAGCCACTGGGCCCTATAGGACACTTAGCACAGAAAGCCACTCTATCGACACAGTGAAGCATAAAAAATGCTGAGACAAAGAAACAGGACACAAATGACAGAAATGGAGGAAAGCAAACTACTGGATATAGAGTTCAAAACCACACTTTTAAGGTTTTTTCAAGAATTTTCTAGAAACCGCTGATAAACTTAATGAGACCCTCAAGAAATCTAGTGAGAATCTCGACATTGTGATAAAGGACCAACTAGAAATTAAGCATACACTTACTGAAATAAAGAATATTATACAGACTCCCAACAGCAGACCAGAGGATCACAAGAATCAAGTCAAAGATTTGAAATACAAAGAAGCAAAAAACACCCAACCGGAAAAGCAAAATGAAAAAAGAATCCAAAAATACGAAGATAGTGTAAGGAGCCTCTGGGACAGCTTCAAGCATACCAACATCCGAATTATAGGGGTGCCAGAAGAAGAGAGAGAGCAAGATATTGAAAACCTATTTGAAGAAATAATGACAGAAAACTTCCCTTACCTGGGGAAAGAAATAGACTTACAAGTCCAGGAAGTGCAGAGAACCCTAAACAAAAGAAATCCAAAGAGGACCACACCAAGACACATCATAATTAAAATGCCAAGGGCAAAAGACAAAGAGAGAATCTTAAAAGCAGCAAGAGAAAGAAACTCAGTTACCTACAAGGGAGTATCCATACGACTGTCAGCTGATTTCTCAACAGAAACCTTGCAGGCCAGAAGGGAGTGGCAAGAAATATTCAAAGTGATGAATGCCAAGAGCCTACAACCAAGATTACTTTATCCAGCAAAGCTATCATTCAGAATTGAAGGTCAGATAAAGAGCTTCACAGATAAGGAAAAGCTAAAGGAGTTCATCGCCACCAAACCAGTATTATATGAAATGCTGAAAGGTATCCTTTAAGAAGAGGAAGAAGAAGAAAAAGGTAAAGATACAAATTATGAACAACAAATATGCATCTATCAACAAGTGAATCTAAAAATCAAGTGAATAAATAACCTGATGAACAGAATAAACTTGTGATTATAATAGAATCAGGGGCATAGAAAGGGAGTGGACTGACTATTCTTGGGGGGGAAAGGGGTGTGGGGGATGCGGGAAGAGACTGGACAAAAATCGTAAACCTTTGGATGAGGACAGTGGGGGGGGGTAAGGCAGAGGGTGGGGTGGAACCGGGTGGAGGGGAGCTATGGGGGGGAAAAAGAGGAACAACTGTAATAATCTGAACAATAAAGATTTAATTAAAAAAGAAAAGAAAAGAAAAGTAAAAAAAGAAAACTATAATTTAATAGAAGACCTGACCTCGTGGATACACACACCTTATTAAAGGAGAATTGCCATAGACCAATTCCAGCATGTCATAATTTTAAGTTTCATCAAAAGGTTGATGAAACTTGGGGACTCAACAGGGTTGAGTCACACATATAGTCACCTGTTGGAAATGGCTAAAGGCATTTCCCCAAACCTGAATAGGAAACTGATTGTGGCTGCCAGACAGTTAAAGGGCATCTTAATCTACATGTTATTGCCTCCTACTGGCCAAACACCTGAACAGCCTTAGGCTATTCCCCAAACTGACAATGCTTCTGTACCCTTTGAAACCTTACCCTTTGAAGTGTATTATCTCCACCTTGCCTTAGGGCAAATTGTGTTTATAAAAGCAAGGGCCCTAGACAAGGAGGGAGTCTTCAGTTCCTTTAGCTGAAGGTCCTCTGACCCCCAATGCCTTTCAAAATT